AGCAACCTGCTGATGGAGAACACCAAGGACCTGGTGCTCTCACATGGGTCAGCAAGAGAGCAGAGCTCATCAGCTCTCTTGGTTTAGTCTGAAAAACAAAGCACTGCATTTATAAAAGGGAAGGAATTTGTTTGTTCTCATAATAATTTTATGAGAGGCTCTGTTATTGCGTAGTTGTGTCACTACCCATGGATGAAAGCCCAAGGTAAAGCCTAATCCTAAACTTGGCAGCAGACAAAGGACTCACTGCTGAACCCAGGCTCACTGAGGTGGGAAAGCAGGTCCCACTGCAGGCTGGATTTCCATCAAGACACCTACTTGGGTGTTTCCAAGAGCAACATATCTGCAGGGTCGATGTAGAAGTGCTCCCCAGTCCTGCACTTTCGTGTGCTGCTGGTTAGAGAAAGCTGCAGATCACTTCAACTAATCTCCATGGCCTTAGTCTGTCCAAGTGCAAAGCCTAGGGATTACACCTTGACCTGCATGGAAAAGATGATGCAGAGAGCTCCCAGAGCCACCACAGTAACAGCAAGCTGGGCAGCCCTCTGTGAATGCTGAGTTAGTGTCAGCCCCATTCCGGGGTACTTGGAGATACACACAAAAGAAGGCCTAGGTAGAGTGTTTATGACCTGAAAATTATCAGTTTTAATTTGTCATTGAGAAATACAAGCAGTAATTATAATGGTAATTATCATGGCAAGACAGAGCATAATCTGAAGGTTGCACAGTGGAAGTCCTGGGTGGCAGAGGTCTTGGTCCTCTTCCACCCTGGGAAGGGGAAAGCTGGGAATCTCACACCAAGCACCTTTCCTTAAGCCTCTGTGGTGTTTAGGTGTTCTGAAAAAGCATGTCAGGGAGAATACGTGAGAACTGAAAGCGTTCATTGCCTGCCCACGCCATTGCTTGTGCTACACAGCACTTTCTCCTCTGCTATAACAAATGCACTGTGCTTGCACCTCCATGCACCCCAGGCTTGCTCCTTAGTGATCTTCCCTCCATGGGGACCTTAGCGTGCAGAAAGCTGGAGCCAGATCTGGGTGGTGGATGACCTACCTGCTCCCTGGGAATGCACTGGTAGAGAGGGGCTAACAAAAGCCTCCTGCTGTATTCTTACAGCTGCAGTAAGAGCAGCTGAGCCCCTGGAACACAAGCAAAGAGCTCATCTGTTGGGGGCTGACTACTTCTGTGGCTGCAGCATGGGATTGGTATGAAATTCCCTTGGAGAGCTGTTTTCAATGATCCTTTTATGGGGGAAGAGGATGGGTTATTGACTACAGCAGTGGTGCTTCAATGGGCTTTGCAGGTGGCCAAGCAGAGAGTGTGGATGCTGTGTGGGCAATGAGAGAAGGGAGGGCTTCCCCGACAGGCATGAAAAAATATCTGGGGTCCTTGGGTGGTGGTATCACCCCCACTGCTCTTGCAAGGGAGACACAGGCACTTCTGGCATCATTTTTCCTTTATTTCTTGACTTGAAAATCATCTCATATTCTCTCAGTAACCTCTCTGGGGTCCCAGTTATAGATACCAGAAGATTTGATCCCACTCTGATGCACAGGAGAACAAGCCTTCCTATTGATGGTAAGCCAAGCTCGCTGTGAGCCCACCTATCGGTGACTTCAAACCATCTTTCCAACTGTCGTTCCGCAGTAACTTTGACTAACTGTACTATTTATTGGCTCACATCACATCCTTATGGCTTCAATTTATTTTTGGAAAACTCAACCCGCATTTAATTAGTTTATAGTTTGTTCCAAGTTTTGCTTATCCAGATTTTTTTTTTTTAAGCTTTTTTTTTCTTGAAGTTTGTATTTTGATGTTTAGCATTTGCCTTGGCAACATCTGGAACCCGTTTATGGAAGTGTATTGTTACTTTTACTGCTTGTGCAGCTTTATTAAATCATCTGACTATTAATATTGAAAGTGTTCATCTGGGTCTAATCAGGGCCAAGATGAGTGATGTGGCAGTTAAATTGTACCTACGAGCTAATGGTTCAAGGACACAAAGTCCTGAAGAAGCTTGTAGTGGAGTGGGCTTTGTGCTCTTCTTTTTAGCTTCCTAAGAGAAGAATGAAGGGGGGAGGGCAGGAAAAAAGAGATATTCCTGCTCTGACCTTTCTTGCAGAGCAGATAACAGAATCACAGCCTGAGCTAGTTTAGAACAATTTGTCTCCAAAGAATTTTGTCCGGTTACCACTATATTTCTGGGTCTCGTTTCCATATTTAACTCTTTCATCTGCCCTGGCTTCTCCGGTGCACAGCGCAGGGGACTGCCAAGTTGAGATCCGCACCAAGACACAGTAAGTAAAACACTGCTGGGGCTGGCGTTTTGCTCTGAGATTTTGACTAAACCCTTGACATAAATAAGTAAATAACGTACCTGGTAGGTATAAATACACAAATAACAAACCTCATCCTGCACTGGCAACATTCACAATCTGGATTTGTCCTTTTGCTGCTCCTCTTCAGGGCTCCCAAATATCCCTGGGTGATGGTGCTGAGCCCACAGTCCTGCACGAGCCTGCTGCAAGCAGAGCAGGACCCGTGGCATGGATGGGTGGAGCTGAAGGGGTGAAAGAAGAACTATGGCAGTGACACCAGTAGAGCATAGACCTGGCTGTGGTAGGACTTGGGTTTGGGAGGGAGAAACCAATTTACCTTCAATTCTTTGTTCCCATGTAGAAACACCAGTGGAGTTTGTAGGGTGTAGTGGCTGCCACTGGAGGTTGAGAGCTGCACCCAAATGCTTAGGCTTGATTTCTATCCCACCCCCGAAATTCTCATCCTCCAGAGGAGTTTTGCCTGGGATTCTGCAAGTTCTGCCCTGGCAGAGCAAAGCAGGGAGGTGAGGGCAGTTCATGCTGGCTGCAAGTGCTTCAAATCCCAGCTGAAGCTGTGGTTTTGGTAGCTAACCCTTGGATGGATGTGGGGCACTGGATCTGTTGAGGTCATCACAAAATCACAGGGCACTTTAGCAGGGCCAGAGAAACCTCCTGGATAGGGGGATGCTGAACAAGAGGTTGTGGGCAATATCTTCACCCACTCTGCTCTCATCTCCCCCACCACCTGGCGCAACATGAGCCCTGCTGAGCTGCACTTTAAGCCTGGCATCGGTCACTTAAACAAAAACTTCCTCCTTCCAGCCTTTAGATGTAACAGGCTTTTCCTCTACAGCCAGGTTTCCCCTCTGCCATTAACCTTGGCCCTACGTACGAGGCCACAGGAGCTTGTAAATGGTTTATTTCTGTGTGGGAGCCTTCCAACAGCTCTTTATGAGGGTCACAGGGAGGGGGGCCTGGGCCGTTGAGGGAAACAGAGCAGGCATGTGAGATGCTGTCAGAGCAGGCTGTGTGCCCTGGATTTGGGGAGCAGAGTTGTTAAAAACCCCTTCTTGCTATTGAGACAGTATTGAAGAGTGTCTTTAGGCTTGGTTGTGGACCACAGGCAGGTGACAGATGTGACCACAGGAGGTCCTGCAGGTTGCTCACAGACCTGGGGGTGCCTGTGGGTGTGTTCCTGGATCAACAGGGCCCTGCTTGCAGGGGCTGAGGCTTCACAAGCCAGAGCCAGGGATTTTGCAATTTGTTTCTTCTTCAGACTAACACCTGGTGATGGAAAACCCTACGATGGCTGTTGCAGCACAGTGAGCCTTGACTGGCTCTTCCACAGGGGCTGGGAGCACTGGGGACAGTGCACTGCTGGGTGCGCTGGGGACATGGCAGACGGAGAAGCAGGGATGGCTCAAACATTCAAAAAATGAGCTGCTGTAGTTCGTTCATACCTGAACAATTTGGAGCATATATATTTAAGTAAAAAAGTATAAATATACATTTCTACATAAGCCACTTCGTGACTTGTTTGGCTTTCCTTTTTTTTTTTTTTTTTTTAAAGACATTTAGCAGCCTTAAAACAGGAAGTTTAAATTTAGCTGGGATTTATCCCTTAACCAAGCATGGTTCATGTGCCCTTTCTATAAAAATAGAGATAATGTTATGCCTGTGAGATACAGGCAGAGCAGCTCCCCACTGTTATTCCCAGCAGTTATTCCTGCTGCTGCAGCAGACACAGGGCTCTAGGGACAGGAATGCATCTGATGCTGGGATGGGGCAGAGTGGCAATGGAGCCCTGGAGGGAGCAGCCCCTCTTGCCCCAGAGCTTGGGAAGACTCAGCCCATTGTTTCTTGCAAAACCACAGATGGTCAGGGTGGCAAACATGTTTCTCAGGTGGCAAACACACTTCCCAGCTTGGGCTCATTGAACAGGCAGAGGGAGGACGAGGAGACAGCAGGAGAGAAGGAAGCTATCCCAGTCTGGCCATGCATCCCTCCCCAGCACCTCTCCTCCTGCTGGGAGGGGAATAAATGAAGTCTTCAGGCATGCAGAGAGCCGGGGATGTCCCTTTTTGAACACTGTGTGTTCTCAGGATGAGGGGAAATGCCAATCTGAGCCCAGGTTATAGAGGAAGAAGTAAATTTCCCCTTGATGATAAAGGGTACAGGAAACACAGGGGGAAAATGTGGCTCTCTGCAGGTTCCCAGGCTCTGCAAAGCTCTTGTCTGGTAGGACCTGCCTTCCCACCACCAGCATCCCCCCATGTCCTCCCGGCTTTGGTGTAATACAGAGCACATTTGACTGAGCGATGGAGCAAAATTGCTCCAACGAAAATAGGCTGGATATTAGGAAGAAATTTTTCACAGAGAGAGTAATCAGACATTGGAATAGGCTACCCAGGGAGGTGTTGGATTCACTGTCCCTGCAGGTTTTTAAGGTGAGACTGTAACCACGGTGGTGTTGGATCAAGGGCTGGACGTGATGATTTTGGAGGTCTTTTCCAACCTGGTTGATTCTATTCTGTGATCCTAAAAAGACTTAAAAAAAGTGCATGGAGAAATAGGGTCAGTTCAGGCTCCTTCTCCACTATTTGTGTGAATTGCCAAAATTGCCCCATTCTGGGCAAGCATGGCCCTCCCTGCTCACCCTCTGTCCCCTCTCTGCCCCTGCAGCCTGCAGTGCCGGTGCTCGCCGCAGCCTGAAGACCAACCTGTGCAAGTGGTGCGACTCCACATCCCCGGCCTGCGAGGAGAAGGTGTGCTACAGCAACTGCAACCTCAACTCCTACTGTGAGGACCCCTACGAGATCTGCGTGGCCATATGGTGAGAGGAAATTCCCATTGTTCGAGGGCAGATGTGGGGGAAGAAGGGGTTTGCTCTTGGAAATGCACATGCATGTACCCCTGTGCTTGGATTACTGCTCCCTGAACTAATTCAGGACTTCCTCTTTCTTTGATTACACTGTAATTAAAATTACAATTCACTGTAAAAAAAACCTATTCGATCTGCCCTATAATTAGTGCCAGTTTATTTTCTAAATAAATTAAGCATTTAAGTACCCGACACAAAGCGTGGCAAGTTTCTGCAGGACCTCTAAAGCCCCATAAACCTCTGGATTTAGCTTTACGAGCTGAACCCAAGGGCAAACCGGCAACCCTGACCTCCAAACCTATGATGTCCTCCTGCATCAGGCTGGCAAAACCTTGGTTCACGTGCAGGGGTGCAGCTGAGGTCTGTCCCCATCCGGCACATGGATATCTGAGCTGACACCAAACTGGGCTTTAACATACTGGGTTTAACCCACCTCCTTCCTATCCCCTGGAAAAACCCTTTTCTGCTCCTGTGGGAGGTGCCTGGAAAGGAAATGCAATCTTGCATTTTAGGCTGAGCGTGCACTGCATGGTTTGGCCCAGGAGAGTGCCTCCCCCAGCTTTTTGGTCCTCATGAGCAAAACTAAAAAAACAACCATTTTGGGTCTGCCCAGAGTGATTTTCCTCCTCTTTCCCTTTTAATTTGGCTGCCAAAGTGAAAGCCAGCCAAGCACTTATCGCTAGGCTTTATCTCAACCTGCTAATTAGCATGAATGCTGAACGCCAGTTTTCAGTAGGAGTTTGCCTCAACATAATTGTTGCATTATGGACTTTTAAAAAAGCAAAACACAACGCGAAACCCAAACAAACAAACAACAAAATCCACCCCCTGCCTCAAATTCCCCTACACACATGGAGAAGCCACCTTAAATCCTGGGTAGGCAATCCAACATCTCCACGGGTTTTCCCATATAGTCTACAGGAAAAAGGAGCATGAATCCCCACACCAGAAAAGCAGTCCCACTGCACAGGATGGAACTGCACCCTGCATCACGTATCAGATGGAGTGAGGCAGCTACAGAGTCACAAATAACCTACCTACCCCTCCCAGTATCTCCCATCCCATTCTAAGGTCCACCCAGAGAATAAGATCCCTGCAGGCAGGGCTCACCTCCAAGCCAGCCTTGCTGCTCCTTGCTCACTTGCAGAGGAATATTTGGATCATCTGAACTTGTCCTGCATGGGGACTGCAGTCACAGCAGCAGCTTTGCCTCCATGCTCTTGAGCAATGTGCTCACATCCCATAGGTGTGCCCAAACTTGGAAGAGAAGGGATTGCACCGTCCTAGGACTCTTCAGCTGGAAGCTCCTCTGTCAAATTACCTGGAAGCTCAAAAAAAACTTGTGGAGCACTGAAAGCAGTGGACTTCATCAGGGAGAGGGTGACAAATTTAGGTTCTTTCCCTGGCTTTTATATATGACTTCCCAGCTGACCTCAGAGACACTGCGAAACCTCTCCATACCTTCACCCTCTCACTTTTCATGGCAAAGTCAGGAAGCAGAGGCTGTCCCTGGAAAAGTAGTTAATGGTTGTAATTCCCTTTGAACACCCCCAAGAGTAGCTGCAATGCTCTCCAGCCACCCATAGCCCATGCAGGGCCAGTCATTCCCCATCACTGCCCTGGAAACACAAAAAGTGCTGGGTTACCCTGCTTCCCCTGGGGAAGGCTCCAAAGGAAGAGGATGCCCTGTGTGTTATCTGGGACACAATTCCCCTTTTACTAACAGCAGCCCACACCTCTCCACTGCACAGGGGAAATTTGGGCAGCAGAGACCCACAGCCTCTGCTGAGGCACAGGTGTTGTGACTTGTATTGCAGCAGAGGTGACATGCAGAGTGGAACCATCATTTTGGTGGGTTTCCTTAGAACCATACAGCCCCAAAACCTGCTGGCCTAGCAGCTGGTGTTAGTAAAAGGGGAATTTTGCCCCAGATAATGCACAGGGCACTCAGCCTTAACGTTGGCAGTACCTGATCCAAGATGCGATTATGAACTGGTGAATTATCTACTGGAAACAATCAGAGTCTCTGGCTCTCATCCTACTATTGGTGTGTGCCAAACATTTCTCTTTTCAGCAAAGAGACAAAGGGCTTTAGCACAACCCCTCCAAAAGCATGTGTAATTAGGATTACACCAGAGCTGCTGCAAACAAGTCATTCCCTCCGCATCTTAAAACGAACAATCTCAGAACTGGGTTTAAGGTGACGGGCAGGTGACACAAAGGCTGAGCTGCCAGACTAAGGTTGTGTCGGTTCCCCTGTAACCCGCAGGAGACAGGACAATGAGAGCATCAGGATCAGCACGCTCTGCCACAACCCCAACCGCCCCATCGAGAACCTCATGGTCCCCAACTACAACACCTCCCGCTGCGTCATGGCCCCCCAGCCCAGCGAGGACGGTGTCACCTACATCTGCGGCTGCGTGGACGAGCAGGAGTGCAACGACAAACTCATCTTTGAAAACCACACCAACGGTGAGTGCTCTCATTCCTGCTGTTTACGGGGGGAGCAGCACCCAGTATAAAAGCCAGTTAAAATCTGTACCCCGTTACTGAGCCCAGGTTTTTGCCTGTAGCCAAAGCATCCTCCCATGCAATACCTCCAGTTTTTGTCTGGAAGCATTAGGTGATGGAAAATCTGCTGTATCTCTTGGTGGGCTGTGCCCTTCAGCACGGGGTAAATCAACTGGGGAACCCAAGGGCTGATGTAACCCAGTGTGAGTCAATGCTCTGAAAGCTTTAAATAAATCATGTCAGAGCCAATCCTGCCCCAGAACACACCTATGGGAACTGCTGGCATCCACCATGGCTGCATCCTGAAAAGGTGGAGGTGCTGGGGCTCAGGGCTTGGCACATGGGGGTGCCTCCCCTACCACTCTCCTGGGGGTCCCTGCAGTGGAGTTTCTCTCTGGCAGGGACGGCTGGAACCATCCTGATGCTGCACACACATGTGAGCGTGGCTTGGCACGCCTGTGGATGCTTCTGCAGATGGCTGGGGATCCAACAGGAGCTGTAAATCCACAGGAGGGAAAACTAAGAGGCAGCCCATTTCTGTACCTCAGGAGGGTCATATACTTTGGAAATGCTTCCAATCAGATCTTGAGCCTTTGGGGGCTTGTCCAAACCTCCCTAAGTCCAAATGAACCAGGTTTATCCAAGTGTCCATCAAGAATCTGACCTGTAACAAAAGCAAAGTGAAACTCCTCCAATTTTCCATAATCACAGAACAAGCAGATGCTGAGAACGAGCCTCAGCAGAACCTGCAAGCCAGTGGCATAGCCTTCCTGCAACACAAGGAAAAAAGAAAAACATCACATAAAATGCAAATTCTCTGAACAAACAAGCCACTCTCAATGGAGGCAAACGATGCTAAATCTGGCAGCTCTTTGCTGCTTCCCCAGCCAAACATAACAGGTACACACACTTCTAGGGAGAGATAGTCAAATCCCAAAGCTGGGATCTGTAACTTCACACAAAAATGACAACTGGCTCATTGGAAATGCCGCCCCCAGCGAAGGCTCCACAACCAGCCTCGTCCTGCCAACCAGCATGGAAAAGTGCTGGAAGTCATAGAGGGAGCGGTGCAGGTCTTAAACAGTTCCCTCCTTTTTGTTTTGCGTCATGGGGATAGCTTGGCAAGCCCCAGCCTCACAGACCCCATTCTTTACATCCTTTTCTTCTGCTTTAAGGAATCATTTGCATTTTAAATACTAACTTCTGCTCATTGATACAGACAACACCTAGCAGAGGAATATCTAATATAGACAAGCACTTTTTGGTCGGCTAAAGCAGGCAGTTTTTTTTCCTTTTTCTCAATTTCTTAAGCCCTGCTTTCAGGCCTGGGCTGATAGGTGGCATTACCCTCACATTGGGGCTGCAGGGGACTCCATCAGGGCTCAGAGACCACCCTAATGAACACATAGAGGCACCATTTCCTAAAGCTGTGCACGCAGGAGCCCAGCAGACACCCTGGGGAGGTGCTGGGTAGGGTTGAGCATGCCAAGTCCTTTCTACCTCTGCTCCAGCTGAGCCTGGCCCTGGAGCTCCATCTCCCCTCAGCAGGGATGAAAAGACCCCCGCAGGGATGCTCAACAAGGTGTGAGTTTACAGAGCTGTGCTTATTGTCAGAGCAGCTACATTTGCTCTCCGTAGAAGGGGTCTAAGCCCTGCTGCAACCCCTGTGTATCAAAAGACTTCCATCAGGATGGGGCATCCTCATGAAGGAATTTCCTGAAGTTGTGTTAACTTCCCCTTTTCAGGGCTCATGCACGCAACTCCCTTAAAAATATCTTCTCTTCCTTCAGAGTTTCAAAGATGGGATCTGAAGCATCAGGTAAATCCATTAAAGCAGTAGGTGATATCCAGGCCTAATGCTTTCCAAAATAAACATATTCCTGAGTTAGTTATTGATTTATATCAGTTTAGGTTGATCTTGTGGTTTAAACCTGATGCCTATTTTAGAAACGCTTTCACAGCCTTGCAGAAATTAGCTGCAGCACATTTTTTTGAAATTTGCCAAGGAAAATAGCTAAACGCTCTGTTTTTCCAGAACCTGAATTATGATCTGCACACACTGAGGTCAAGCAGCGAGAGTTTTGCTTATGGAATGATTCTTATCCCTCTTCCCCTGGGTTATTATACTTGGCAGAAAAACCTCTGAGTAAGATTTTACTTGAATATCTCTACTGAAGTCAGCATGTTTATTCCAGGAATTGTGAACATCAAAGGATCAGACAATTATATGTTGTGTGAGGGTTATGGCTTTGTGTGCGTGTCATGGGTGTGTGTGTGTCTCCCCCAACTGAAGGGGTTTTAAAAGAAACAAAACAAAAGCAGCCATGCCCTGGCAGATGATGGTGTTGGTGTTGTGACAGAGTGTGGAAGGATATGCCAATGCTGGCAGACAGCACTGAAGAGATGCTTCTTTACTCTAAAAGTATCACGGTGCTCTCCTGGGCTGGGCCGTCCTGCCCACCCCCAGCATCCCTTCTGGCTCCCTGAGCATCACAAGGGTCCAGTAAAGCTCCAGTCCCAAACCCCCTCAGAGATTCGCTCTGTCTGAGGCTTGCCTTGGATTTATCACTGTTATTTCCACCCCAGCTCCCCATGCCGTGAGTGCAAGTGGCGCCTGAGACCCCCAAAAGGCAGTGGAGCCGTGTAGGTGGCAGCAGCAGGATCGCATGTGCTGCACTGCCCAACCCAGGCGATGCTGGCCTGCATCCCGGACCCTCTGTTGATAAATTGAGCTAAATTTGAGACCAAAACTAAGCAACCCCCTCGCTAACTGCCTACATCTGGGTTCTGTGCTGAGACGGGTTTGTGTGGCCCCGCAAAGGGCTGCGCTTCATTAACAGCTTCGCATATTTTCCTCCTCGGCGTGATGAAAACGAGCTGTTGCAGAGCCGCGGCAGCAACAGTACCTCGCCTTTGCTTTCCTCCCCGCAGGCTACTCCATGCTGCAGAGCAAAGAGGTGATCCCGGTGGCTGCCATCAGCCTCCTGCCCCCGCTGCTGGTGGCGGTGATGATCACGGTGATATTTTACCTCTGCCGCACGCAGAAGCGGCGCAAGAGAGCCAAGGCGTGGGGTGGGAAACCGGGACAGCCCCCGGCGCTGCCGGAGCCAGGGAGGGCGACGGAGCGGGAGGAGAAGTTGTCCGTGCTGATGGATGAGAACCCGGCCGGCGCCAGCCCCAGCTGCGCCAGCAGCCGCCCCACGGAGCTGCTGCCCATCGAGCTGGACGAGATGGTGGGCAAGGGCCAGTTCGCGGAGGTGTGGAGGGCCAAGCTGAGCCACAGCCGCTCGGGGCAGTACGAGACGGTGGCCGTGAAGATCTTCCCCTGCGAGGAGTACTCCTCCTGGAAGAACGAGAGCCAGATCTTCACCGACACCAGCCTCAAGCACGACAGCGTCCTGCAGTTCCTCACTGCCGAGGACAGGGGCACGGGGCCCCGCCGGGAGTACTGGCTCATCACCGCCTACCACAGCCGGGGCAACCTCAAGGACTACCTGTCCCGCCACATCCTGAGCTGGATGGACCTGCAGAAGATGGCGGGCTCCCTGGTGAGCGGGGTGGCCCACCTCCACAGCGACTACACTGCCTGCGGCCGGCCAAAGATCCCCATCGCCCACCGGGACATCAAGAGCACAAATGTGCTGGTGAAGAACGAGCAGGAGTGTGTGCTCTGCGACTTCGGCATCGCCATTCGCCTCGACCCTTCCCTCACAGTGGACGACTTTGCCAACAGCGGGCAGGCAAGTATGGCCCACCAACCCTCTCTGCAGGACCCTCTGCAAGCCACCTCTGCCTGTCATGTGGCCACAGCCCTCGCCCACCCTCCTAATGCCTCTCTCCTCTCTGTGGGCAGGTGGGCACCGCCAGGTACATGGCCCCAGAGGTCCTGGAGTCCAGGGTGAACCTGGAAGACCTGGAGTCTTTCAAGCAGATGGATGTCTACTCCATGGCCCTTGTTTTGTGGGAAATGGCCTCCAGATGTGAAGTGGTAGGAGGTAGGAGCATTGCACTGTGGTTGCCATATGCCCTTTTGCTCCCTTACTTCCACATCCCCACTGATGGCACAGGACCTGATCTAGGGTGGCTCAGATCTCTGTAGGGGTGCCGAGAGCTGGTGGCAGATCCCTGCCCTGGCTGCCTGCTCTGTGTGCTGTGGCCAAGGGAGTGGCTCAGTGGTCAAGGAGCAGGATGGGTTCCCAGGGGGTCACCTGGTCCAGGCCCTGCTCAAAGCCAACCAGCCACTGTGCCACATCCAAGCCTGTGCCAGTGACGCAAACCAAACCAAACCAAGCAGAAAGAGCTAAAGGTGCCACCCCCTTCTCAATCATTTTTTCCTTCAGACAACACCAGAAAGTTTAGGTTGCAATGGGGACCCACAAACCCTAGACTCAGGCACTTCCAGAGCTGCATCCTGGCACCTGAAATTGAATGTAGCAAAACAATTCATTACCTGCCCTGGTGCTGGCCCCAACCTGCCTTCTGCCTGCTCCACTCTTTCCCTTCCTTCCCTATCCCACCAATGCAATACAAACCCGCTGGGCTGCAAGAATCTCCAGCCCCTGGCAAGAAAGCTGCCCTAGTTGCCCTGCACACTCCACACCCAGTAGTGGGGGCCCCTTGCCTGGCTCAGGTGGCCTGTGCATCCTTTGTTCCCAAGCCAGTATCCCAGCCATCCTTCCCCACTCATCTCTCACCTGGATTCATATCCAGGCAGGAGCTGGCAGAAACCAGGGTAGCCTCTCACCTCTGCAACAGGCAGTTTCTCCGTGGCCTCACACAACATGCTCTTCTGGAAGGGCCATTTCTCCTCGAAGCCAATCCATGCCTGCAGTAGGAATTTAAATGCTGGTATCATAGTCACCCCTCCCACCTTTCACCAGCACAACACTTTTTACCTGCTCAAAATACGTCTCACCCAAGGACAAACCAGGTCCTTTGTAGTGCATCTCTTGGGTTCAGGGAGGCGGTCAGATCATTCCTCAGTGCTGTCTCTAAAAACAACCTTTATGTGAAAAGCCAGCACTGTGTTTCTGCGTTCAAATTCTCAATTTTTTCCAGAACTGTTTATTTTTGCAGACTGCAAAAAACAAGTGTAGTCTTATCCAGTGGACCACACCAAAACAAAGCAAGGAATGCACTAAAAACATCCTGTAATGCTGCTGTTGCTTCCTTGCAGAGGTAAAGAATTATGAGCTGCCTTTTGGGTCAAAAGTCCAGGAGCAGCCCTGTGTGGACACCATGAGGGACATCGTGCTCCACGGCAGAGGCCGACCCGAGATCCCGAGCAGCTGGCTGGTGCACCAGGTAAGCTGGGAGCAACTAGAAAAGAACAACCCATGTTGTCCCACTTGACTAAACCAGCCTGAAAAACTATTAAGGTTATAATCAAAGGAAAAGTGGCCAGAACTCCTGGGCTCTACTTCCAGCTGCACTGTGGCTGGCTGGGCCCACATAAACCCCACCGGTGAATAAAAGCCACCAGCCAGGGGTACAGCATAATTTGTTGATCAATAGCCATGATCAGGAAGCATTTTGAGTGCCAGGTGATGGGTTTCAGTTACCTTGAGGATAACAGCAAAATGGAGCACTTCAGTGCAGGTTCTTCTCACAAAACACTAAATCATTTGAGTCCACCCCACTTCTCCCCTAAACACCTTATCCAGAAGGCTCTAGCTCAGGAAACATGCAGTCCCTGGCACACAGCCATTCACAGCAGGTACAGGAGGGAAAGAAAGTGCATCCAGCCTTCTGTAAGCTTGGTTATGGAGGTTTCAAACTCAACATTACCTCTAACATGAGAGAAGGATTTCCATTTCTACAAGGAAAGCAAACCAGAAAGCATCTCCTTCATGTGAAACACCCAGGGAACACACATAAAGCTGAGAGCAGGGACCTTGCTAGGCTCAGGGCTCAGGTTTTGCCAAGGGAAGTCTTTCATCAGCCTTCAGAGGGTCTGAAAGCAAAGTGTGTCAGCACAGAAAGCATAACCCAGTGCTCTAGAATGGCAGCACTTTAGCAGCAATGAGATCTGCTCTGTTAAAACCATCCACAAGCACACCCAGACCAAACAGCCACAGAAGCACAGTTCCCTCCTGGCCCTGACAGGATCCTCTGTCCCAGGGCCAGTGCCTTCTTCCATGCACCAAGGACACATGGGGTAACAGGCATGCTGGCCATGACTTTCATGTCTTGTGGAAAAACACCATCTGCTGATCAACAATCCCATTCACCTAAAAAACAAGCTGAAACTTCAAGCCTGCTGGATTTCAGAGTCTTGCAGTGTTCAGTGCATCATTTTGCAATATCCACCCATAAAACACACCACCACTGCCCTCACTCTGCCCGGGTGGCACACAGGGGCAGACTTTTCAAAGGGAAAGATACAATTTCTTGACCTCAGGAGGCCACATGTTCCCTACAATGTCTCCTCTCAAAACCATGTTTGTCCAAAGACTCACAACTGACCTGACTGACCAAAGCTGCAAACAGCATCAAATGAATCCGTGGCTTCTGCCGCACCCCCAGGGAGTTTATCAGTCAGCCAGTCCATGTCAGAAGTTCACCCAGCCTTTTTCCCAACGAAGGCAAATACAGGAACTTCAAATCAGCACTGCCACACATTTCAAGCCTTTGAGTATTCATCTCAGACATTCACCACCCAAGGTCTCTGATAAACTTTGAAACCACAGGAAAAACACACAGAAGCTTGGGTTGTGAAAAATCACACTCTGATAGAGCCTGGCCATAACTGTGCTGTTCCCTGGGCTGAGGGGAGGCTGACTGCAGTCACCTCCCAGAAACAACATTGCTGTAGTTGGGGTGGTTCAGCACACAAACAGAGCAAGGCTTTTAAGGAGGGAACTTTTATTAGACCAGCTGATGGTCACTGGGGGAGAGGAACAGAAAAGCTACGTTGTGTTCCTGAAAGTTTGCCCCTGACTAATCTTGGCTAATCTAATAAACATCTCCTTTCAAGCCTGGCTTTACAGCATTTTCTGGGCATTTTGCAGCCGTTCTCCCCAGGATGAGGAATTGGGCAGCACCATCTGCTGGGAAGCTGCAGAAAGCCACCGGCTTTGCCACTCCTGGGGTCAGAGCTGCCTTCCTGTGGGAGGAGGCGTTGGGTGGCACCAAGAAACTGTGACAAGTCACTCACCTGAATGGGCAGCACCATCAGACGTTCCCAACAATGAAAATAGGTTTGCTGCAGAGCTTCAGATGTTACTCCCATGTTTCAACCATCAGGATTGCTCTCAGTCAAGTGAGGGTCTACGTGTCTGGCCATGGTTTGATTTTCAGCAAGAGTCAGCATTAACTTCCCTGACAGGGTTGACTCACCCAGCAGCAGCTCCAGGGCAACTGTTTGCAAGTCTGCACAACAAAGACAGCTGAAGAGATTTATCCCAAAGTTTCCCAGATAACTCACAAACCCCTTACGCCCATGCTTCTACCTTGTTTCACATGCCAACACATTAAAAAAAAAAAAAAAAAAAAAAAAAAAAAAAAAAAAAAAAAAAAAAAAAAAAAAAAAAAAAAGAGAGAGAGAGAGAAGAAAAGTTACTTAGGCCAGGTGAATTCCTGGATCTGGTTCACGAAGCATCTGAACAGACGGATGTTCTGGCCACAGCTGGAGGGCTGCTGCAGGTCAGGAAGGAGCAGTGGAAGCTTAAGTCAATATTGCCGCTAAAAATCACTTGTACCACTCAGCAGCTTTTGGAATCTTGGAAAAACAGATATCAAATATAAAAGCCAAACAAAGTCCATTTGTAAGCGAAACAAGATGCTCCAGTTGAACCATTCAAAAGAGCATCATGACAGAGGAGGCAAACTACAAATAATTGTCTTGATTTCAGGGTAAAATAAGCACAGAAAATCTAATGACTAAACCATTTGACAGTGCCATGCTCTGTTTGAGAACAGGCTTACTTTAAAAGCTTCGCCTAAGCTAGCTCATTTTTGCATGTAATCAATTATCCTCAAATCCTTTCAACTAAGCTAATAAACGACTGACGTCAGGGGTACTGAAACACACCATCTGTCAGTTTTACTGCACAACCCTGTTCTCTCCAATCTGTGTCCATTATGGAAGATTTAGTACAATGGACCTTAGCAGAAAGGTTCAGAAGGACAGATGACGCTGACCCTACACGGCTGTAGGACTTGCATTTTCCTCCTGTCTGGGTCCATACGAAGACTTCAGGGTTCCCTCAGTTGCAAATTAGGAAATACACAAAACCCACTGAAAAACATGAAGCTTTATTTAGAATAATGATTTTTCCACTGTGTTCCAACCTTAGTTGACAACGATGCCAAAAGCAATAGCACATGATAGGAATTACATGGGCAAAGGAAGGTTCAAAACAGCTTCTGGTGCTAGCTGTGTTACTAACTTAAGAGTGGGAAAAATACCAGCTGAATACTACCACTTATTTTGTTTCTAAGCCCAAAATATTGACTCTTTTCAGAGCACTACACAATTGGACCAAAAAAAAAATATTTCTGGGAGACATAAGCATTGTAACTGAGAGGAACTACATGTGTTCTGGAGCACACTGGGAAGCACCCAACCCCACCTCGACCAAAACACTATTTTGCAATGAGAGAACAAGGTTCAGCTGCACAATGCAATGAGTATTTGGCACGGTGCACCCTTTCAGAATGCCACTAAAACAAGAAGTCAGATTCAGGAAATTTAATTCCAAACTCACCCCACCTATACCCTCCCTCCAGGCAAAACAGCCAGGGCACAGGCTGGAATCCAGAGGCCTGGGTTTACCCAGCATTCCACAGGTCACCATCTGCACCTCCCCTGTCCCTCCTGATTTTAGGATGCTCTGAACAGAGCATCTCTGAGACAGGAGATGGAGGGCCTGTTTCCTTCCAGCCCTTATTTAAGTCCCACAGCCAACACAAGCCAACTTCCAGCAAGGATTTCCAGGGAGCATGGGAAGTGCTTGGGAGCAGATGCTGGGTGAGCTGAGACTGCTGCTCTAACACAGGCAGTGCCAGTCATAGTGGAAGCACCAGCACTTGCCACAACTTACCAAGGCTGTTTCCTCTTGGCCAAAACCAGCCTTCATGCGGGAGGCTGTCAGAAGTGGCAGTAAAACGCTGTTAGGTCAGCTCCTCTTCCTCCTGGCCCTCAGATCCTAATTTGAGCCCTTCTGCCTGCAGGGGATGCGCTTTCTGTGCGACACCATCACGGAGTGCTGGGACCACGACCCCGAGGCTCGGCTCACTGCCCACTGCGTGGCCGAGCGCTTCAACCTGATGGCACAGATGGACTGTGACGACATCCTCAACAACAACACGGACAACGAGGCCAGCAAAACAGCTTCTCCAGGTGGGGAGCACCAGGACAGCGATGGGAGCACGAACGTGCAGTGACACAGCAGGCAAAAACCCTCGTCACGAGGAACAAGAGGATGAGGGAGAAGCATTTAGCTCATGAGGGAAAAAAAAAAAAAACCAAACAACTTCGCTGTGTTTTTCAAAATGGAACTAAGATCTAGTATATAACTTATTTATAAGATCTGTTTCCTCCCGCAGATACGGTGAACTGTGGAATCAATACTTTGGTTACAGTGCAACATTACATATGAACTGATTTTGTACTTACTTTAAATGTATAATGATGCCAAAGCATTCTTTTTATTATTTTTTAAAATAATAATGTTTAATCTTTTATTAATAAGCACCTGAATTCCATGTCTATCTTTTTTAAGTCCTTCTATATTGCCATCATGAGTTTCTCTTCTAACTGCTTAATCTGCAGAGAACAAGACAATTTTCCTTTTTTAATGGCCTACACACACACACACACACACACACACACACAAACCCCCTGTAGCAGCAAAAAAAAAATCTTGAAATGTGACATACCCTCAATGGAAGAAACACTGGCACACAAGAAAATTATTCATTAATCAGAATCCTCAATATTGTGCAAAGATACACAATAATCCACTCTGCAAAAGCCTGATATGCTGCAACTCTAACACACCTTTTCTCCCCGGGGAATTCCTGAGAGTCCTTGACAGTTCAAGTGGGTGTGTGAAGTCTCTTTGATAGAAATAAGTCACCAGTGTAGACACTACCGCTTCACACTAAAAACTCCCCATGCAGGACATGGAGACAACTTCTTCCCCCATCAGACCAGTTTCCAGCCTCTTCTAGCCAGATCTGTGCTACAGTAACAGTGTCAACACAAAAGTGTTGGCTAATTCTTTTCACAACTCTCGCACCCCTCTGCTGGCTTACCCCACCCGAGAAACGCGGTCAGACAGAACTGAGACCTTTATTCCCATAATCACCACACCAAGCCAGGCTGCCCCTATTCTGGAAAGCAATTAAGGAAAGGTAAGTCATAACTTGCTCTGAACCCTGGCACTGTGCAAATTCCTCCACCCTTGGGAGCAAAAGGGAATAAAAACCGTGGGTGCTCCTAAGCCCTGCACGCCCATACCTGACATCTACACAGGGGTGTATCTTTCAGGATAGCACTGGAGAAGAATTCCTTGCTTGCCACCACGCAGCTGCATGGATCAGCCCCGAAAGAGGGGAAAGGAGCAAACTCTACAGCAGCCATGAGCTTTCTACAGCCGAGGCTCCCAATGTGGAGCAGGGGAGCAGATCTGCAGGGCTGGTTTGGTTTTCTAAAATGCTGTGACAGCACCAGCCCATACAAAAAGCTTTTCTTCTCTAACTATTGTTTCCATCTCTTTGGACGGTTTCCACAGCTCCTAAATTAAAAACCTAGAACCAAATTGTCCCTAAATCCTTCAAAGGACAGAAGGGGAACGAACTAGGTTACTTGAAATTTAAATAACAAAAAATTTGCTTAGCTACCACATATAAATCTCTACCTGCAACTGTGACAACACCTGTCATTCTCACTAATCTTCACCTGGCTGCTACCTCCTGTCATCTTACAATTTTTCAAGTTAACCCTTTTCTCTTGAATCACATCATCCCCAGTTCTCCACAAACACACTTTTTCCACCCACCTGACTTCACTCTCATTTGCTTAATACATTAACCATTGCTCTAGCCCATGGGGCAGCTTTTCTGTCAGGACTATCAAAATCACAGGAACACACAGAATTCCCCTCAAGCCATCCGATCTTTCCTTCCCATAATACTTCATGCAGAATTTCCATACCAAGTTCTGCATCTAGTTTGGGTACACTCATAAATATGTTTACTTGGTCTTCCAAGTTCGGCTCAAGAGGCTTTATTTTAAACAGGCACTCTGACCTATTCTTCCTACAGGTGACAGGGACAGAGGGACCAGCCTGTGCAAACCAGACACTGAAAGCTGCGTCTGATTCTGATGCCTGAAAGCCAAATTTTCCTGGGGAGACAGACTTCATTCTAGGCTTAATAGTTTACACTGTAAATATGCTGAAAATTTAATCCATTCCCCTCCCTTTTGCCTAAAACCTCGAACAACCTGATTTGCATATTGCATTTTTTTCCATAAAACACAAATCCGTCAAGATCACATGCCTAAATGCCTGCATCAAATCGGAGTGACTTGTCACACTCTGTTTTCCACGAGCAGGCTGCACAGCACCTCTGAAGAGAGCCACTTATTTAAGCTCCAAGATCTGTTTACAACTCAGGGAGCCTAAAACCACTGAGATCAATCAGAATTTCGCTCTTGAATTCAGTGGAGCCCAATCAGGCCAAAAAGACAGAAGGGAACATAAGCCAAAGCCCTACATTTTGCCGTGCTCCCTGTTGAACACACTGTGGTTCTAGCAAATGTCTACATAGGAAGCAGCAGTGAGCCCTTCCCTGCGCTCCAGAAGGTACAAGATGGAAACAACAGCAGTTATGCAAGAGAATCAAATCTGGTCAGAGTTAAAAATACAGCCATTAGTCCGCAGGGTGCTTGCAACTCCCAGAAGAATCACAATTACAATTTAAGCTGGATGTACGGTGGCTAGTTGTTGGGGGTTTTTTAACTGTTTTCAATTAGTTTCTTTGTTTTGAGAAGTAGAAATCTGCATCCTAACTAAATCCACTTCAGGAACCATTCCAGTTCTGGTGATCATCTGAGTAAAGGAAGGTTTTATCTTCTTTTTTCATAGCAGCATCCCCATGTTAAAAGAAATCATTTCACGTGTTTTATAAAGCTACTTCTTCAGCATTGGGTCTATTTTTACAAAACAAAATTAGTAACGGCTTTCTTAGTGTGAAACCACAAGCATACCAGATGAGGGAGGAAGAGAAATAACTTGACTAATAATGTTATATAAGGAACACAAATGGGTTTATGGTCAATGTAGGAGCTTTTCAGTCTGATTTACCACCATTACCTTGACAAATTCCCAAATCAAAATTTTAAGCAGAGCTCAGTGACTGAGTCATAACTCTCTCTTTTAGCAAGCACAAGTTTGATCCCTGGAGTATGCTCAGCTGAAAAAGGTTTATTTTTGCTCTGATCACTGCAATATTAAAAGTTGGACCTTGCACCACAGCCCTTGCTGTTTAAATCAAATGTGCCAAGGCACACAGAAAAAACAATTATGAAACATGTATTTATTTTGTTTCTCTACCACCCCCAGTTTGATGCAGGTACCAATGAACCATGAAAGAAACTCATGTTACACCATGATTCCTACTCCAAATCCTGGAATAGGCAAGGAGTGCACTTCAAATGTGCCACAGACCCAGAAATAAGGAGGAACTAATCCCACTGTTTTTATTTTTATTCCTAGTTAAACATGAAAATGCCCAACGGATATCCAAAACTATCATAACAGGATGGTTGGACAGGATATCACAAATAAGACAAGTAGAGCCTAAAACATTCTTCCGCTGGAGAAAATAGCTCCTACTTGAGCACACAGTGCCAAAATATCCCACTTTTGGGACCAAGGAAAGCTCAGACAGATCTCCAGCATAAAAGATAATGACAACTTGCTCTTTGCAGTCACCTGATTTCTAGGAAAGCACACAGAACAAATGGATCATTTTGTAGCTTTATTATCCCCCCCCCCTTCTCACAAACGGACTATGACTCGCATTGAGACCTCAGTGCATTTCACAGCAAAAAAAAAAAAAAAAAAAAAAGAAAAAGTACAAGAGGATCAAAACAGTTGTGCATAAACCCAACTCTTTTTTTTTTTTTTTTTTGCACGATTTACAGTTTGTGTTGAAAATTAACATGGTTATTTAAACCTTCTGATGCACTCTTACACTTGCATCTCTTCTATGGAAAATGTCTTACCAGATCACATACTTGTGAGTTCTCATGATGCTGGATCAGGTGCAGCCATTGCCATGGCTGGGAAGCGGCAGATAATGTTATATACACTGATTGGAAGACTACATCAGAAGAAAAAACAGAGTTAAGGCACCACTGTTGGAAAAATTAAGGTAGCTTGTAGTTACAACAATAACGAAAGCCATAATAAGTACTATTCTTAATTGCCAGCAATTCTTAGACTTCAATAAAATAGTTATTAAAAAAAAAAAAAAAGGATGTTTGTACCTGAATACAGTTTCCTGATATCTGATTGTGTTTCAAATCAATACCCAGACCTCAGCATAATCAGTTGTTTGTTTTTATGGTAAGATGAAAAACCAGGACCTACAGTCCATGTATTCAAGGTCACATTTCACTGCTTTGCTCTGAACAACACCACAGGAAAAAAACCAAAGCAATCCAAAGGACAGTTTGTAACACTGATACTTCATCTCTGAGATGATTAGATGGGCAGAAAAATTTAAATACAAAAATTGTACGTTTTCTGTTCATTTTGAAAGCCTTAGTCCTCGGGAAGAGAAGTTGGAGGAGAAAAAACCAGGCCAAACCTCATTACTTTATAACTTGAGAAAAATCAGTCACTCAAAGAGATTTAATAAAATTAGAGTTGAAAAGTGTTCAAATTACTTTTCCAATTCAAGTCAATTATTTCAAGTATATTAAAACATTTCAGAGGAAAAATTTCTCCATGGTTACATGTCTAATTGCTTTTATAAATCCATAAAAAAGAAAAGTAGTCTCTACATATATTCCGTATTCCTCCAATGCATGCACACGTTCTCTCCGAAGAAAAGGTCGTCATGATCCAGTTGTTTCTTAATACTGATTTCGGGCACATCTTCCAAACACCCCTCCAAGTCTTTGCCAAGAAGGTTAATTACTGGGCAAAAAAGCAGCAATTTTTTGTTGCTGTTGTCTACATTGGTACTGAGAAGGTTGGAGTTATTAAAGAGCTTGTTGCAGATTCCAAAAGAGTTCTAATGTCACTTCAAAATCCAACAGGTCTCTCTTCTCTTAGGCAGCTTCTGCAATCAGATCTACTTAGAAGAATCTTACACAATGCAGATAAAATCTCTTGGGTCATACAAAAAACAAGGTGGTTGAATGTACCTGCCAAGTTTGTCTCTACAACTTGGATTTTACCTTATTTTTTAAATAGCTTTAAAGTGCCCTAGTATAGTTATTTCTTTATGCTCATTTAAACTTGCACAATTACATAAAAAGGGGACACTCAGTGTGATTACTGTGTTTTGAGAGACAGAGGAAAAGGAGATGAAAACCAGAAAACCGATCTTATAGCAGGGTTTTTTTCTAGTTAGTGTCTGTTTGCTGAGTTTGTGCGGCAGAGACTGTTTTCCACAGGGGTTTATGATAAACCCAGCCATCTCCCTGCAATTTGAAGAGAAAACATGGTTATAGTAACGACA